AGATGTCTAGAAGACGTGATAAGGTGCTATATCAAATACAACGACAACAAAATTGCATTTGTATAGTGCCTTTCATGTCAGAAGGACGTCTCAAGGCTCTGGACAGTCAATGTTTTGGACATAAGTTGGGGGTCGGGATCAGGGAGGTTGGAGGCCAGTGGAGGAAGGAGGCTAACTGAAGGTATGGTCGAAGAGGAGGATATTGAGATGGGTCTTGAAGGAGGCAAGGGAGGGGGCAAGGTGGAGGGACTGCAGGATGGAAGGGGGCAGAGTGGCAGAAGGCCCGCCAGCCAAAGGTGGGGCAGACGAGGCGGGGGCTGTAAAGCAAGCTGGAGGATAAATAAATAAAAGATTATTATTACTATTATCTGGCTTGATGATGGCCAATAGCAATTAGGAGATGAATGGTTTCTCTCTGAGTGTCTTGTGGAAGCTTGTAATATTGGTTGTCAAGCCTATAGAGTACAATGTTTCTTCCTTAAAACAAGTTTGTTGACCAGATAGTTTTTAAGAGGGTATGTAAAAGGGATCTATAAACCTTTAAAAAAACGGCTTGTAGAATGCAGCTCTCTTTCAGGAAATATCTGGTCACTTTCTGTAGGAAATATCTGGTCACTTATACAATATGTGTGCTGTGTTACCTCCGCAAATGTCATCTCCTTTGGCTGTGCAAAGAGATGTAATGATTTCTAGCATATCACAAATGGGCCTACATCAGTCTATCTTACTCCTCATGTAACTGGCTAGCTTCATATACTGTACCTTTGTTCTTGTTCCATCTGCTTATTAACTCGGTTTTCACTGACTTGAAGTTTCTGGCAAACCATGGCAATCAAGGCTATTGAAGGTTATACCTTTGACTCCAGTTCATGCCTCATGTCCCACCAATGAATCCTTGCACCCCAAAGTGGCCATGCTCTGAACATCCAAGACACTCTTACTGACTGCACAAAACATAGCATATACTAGGTTAATTGCTAACTATTTTTTCTAGGTATCATTCAGTCATTCTACCTGCTTCGTGTTCCTTCTGCAACATCAATAAAATGCACTCAAGCAATTTGATCTTGATTTCTACTGGTGCATAATCCTTTAATAGCAATATCTTAACTGTTGTCTCAATCACTTAGCGCATAATTTCTTTGTTTTTGTTGCATTGTAGTATACATTGAGGTCTTAAACCTTGGCAATTCTTATTTAATAAATCCTGTTTGAAAATGCCGAGTCCCAGACTCCATTAACTATGTTGAGTATCTCGTGATGGTGGGAAATTGCGCTCTGGGATGCTACTCCTGCGTGAAGGGCCCTATATAAATGCAAGTTGTTATTGTTGTTGATGAAATTTGAATAGTCTGACTAACTTCCACTTTCATAGCAACTGTTCACTAAGCTGCTGTGATTGGGAAATTGTTCAGACGATACCATATAATCAGTTAGCTGGCAAAACCACCCTTTTTTTGAAAAATAATCTTTTCATTATATTTTTCCTTCTTGAAAGATATTGCGAAAAAATAATATTTCCTTAAACAAATCAATTTAGAGGTTATTAACTCTGCTTTCAATTTAAATGTCAGGAGTTCATGGAAAATCCTTTTGCCATTACGATTTCCTGCGACTACAGTGTCTTTTCTCCAGACTTGTGGATTGCAAAGGATTTACAAACATAAACATCAAAAGAGTAAAGGTCAACTCCTTCCTCCTCCATCATGTAGAATTGGCTTTACTATAGACTCCATCTAAGCACTCAACCTCCTGACGAAAGACTGGCAGGCTCCACAACGTTTCCTCCTGCATTCCCAAAGTCAATAGAATAGTAGAAAAGCTTTCCAACCCCACGTCCTGCTTCAGTGTTCATTTTAGTGAAAATGCTGCTTTGGTTTTATCGTTAAATAAATGCAGATCTAATATGGTGTTTCCAGTAATGTGGGTGGAGAGAGCCATCCCCTTTCAGAAGCTTTAGTAGACAGATGCAATTCAAATGCAATTTAATATACCCACCATACAAAAATTTGGGTGGGGATTAGTTTGGATAATAGGATATTGCTCCTCCATCCTCCATCACAGGAAACAGATGTTCTAGAAGAAATCTCAGAAGATAAAGCGGGAACCATTCCAGTGGCCTTTTGAGCCAAGATATATCACATTACATATTTACTGGCTAGTGTTAAAGGTCCCAAACCACAACTGACTAAATAAAACTCGCCCGATCCTCCCATAAACAGTAAGACAAAGATTCATACATTATTTATAAATTTGAAGTGAGGGCCAGTCACAATAACGCTGACAATGGAGTTCTGAATTGCATTTGTTAATTTGTATGTGCATTTTATGTACATGTTCAGGGCCACTCTTGTTTGTTTGTGAATTACAAATCACATATAAATATTGATGGCAGAGGTTTAAAAAAAACTCTTTTCACTGCAATGAATTACTGACAGATTTGCTAATAATTGGGTTGAATGAGTACATTGTAGTTGGGGGTGTTTTTTTGTTGAAAATCTTAAATTCATTTATGGCTTGGGAGTTCTTCCTATGACTCATGCTGCCTGTTTAATTCATTCGGCACAAGGATGATGGTAACTAGTGATAAAACATTTCTTTAAAAGGATCGACAATAAACAGGAGCAGCAGAACGGAAATGTTAATCAAGGAAACAGATATTTACTTTGGTAACAAGTTTGCTGTGTTAGAAAGGGACCAGACCGGAGTCAATGAACATTGACAGTAGTGTAACAATCGTGTGATGTTTGTCTTAAACTAAAGTTTAGATAAATCCATCAGTTCTGTTGATCCTAACTCTGAAAGGTTAGCATTTCTGAGAATACTGACTCCAGTAGCCAATCCTAGAAGTGATAATAATCCTTGCATCTGACATAACGCCATACTACTTGGTGGAAAGCTCTCAAATCGCTTCACAGGATTTTACTGTAAAGGGTAATGAATTAACAGCTTGAATTGTGTCATCACTCTTTAATCAGCTGTGCTTTCCAATTACTTTATTGTTATTGTGAGTTGTCACATTTACGCTAAGCCTTGAGGGGCCATTTACAGTGGAGCTAAGTTCTACAAAATAATACACACCCTCGCTGAGACCGTTTCAAAAATGGTTTGGCTCGGTAGAAAGTTAATTCTGATCCAGGTTAGGAACAGAAATGATGACCTACTTGTAAAGTTGGGATGTGGGTTGGAACATAAACCTAGTCTTAAATTGGGGTTAGGTTTGTTTTAGGGTCAGCAGAAAAAGGCAAAATTGTTATGGAAGTGTAGTCCGTAGTTTTTGAAGAAAAATATGCAGCATGTGGTGTGGTCTTGAATGTTTGGCTGAAACATGGCAAATGCACAACAAATTAGATCAAGCAGTTCAATGCCGGGTCCTTATTATGCACAAAGCCATTCTCAGTGCAGTCCTTCAGGACAGCGTCCAGGCAAATGTTGGTGTCTATCACACCCATAAGATACTGAACTGGCTCCCAAGGTGACATGTCTAGCAATGGAGTGTTGGAATTGATGAATTACCCTGTGTTGCACTATCTGTAGTCCAGTTTCTGAGCCAGATGTGTCCGTAGTATTGCAGAGCACTGCTGATGACAGCACAACCTGCTTGGCTCATCAGCAGGACTTGGAAGGGCAGAACAATCGCTGGGGGCTGGGATTCCTTCTAAGCTCCTGTTAACCCTGCAAGCCAAAGCTTTAATGGGTAGGGTGGTCCTAGGTGGATAAGCAGCAAGAAAGCTTGCCAGGCAGTGCTCTCAATAGCAACCTGTGTGGTTTAGTTGGTTAGACTCCAGCAGTACCCCAAATTCACACTGTGGGGTCCCTAAACGTTGGCCTTGCCAACCTGCGCCTAATAACAGGGAGAGAGTGCGCATTCCATTTCCGTGTATAGGTGGGATGCAAGGAATTCTCAGCTTGGTTTGGATCATTTAAAGCATGGTGATAGGTTTCCCCGTGTGTCAGACACTCGACTAACCAAAAAAACACCACACAAACCCGGACCGCAGTAGAATGGACCTTTAATTGCCATTCATTGATTTAAATATATATATATAAAACTCTATAAATATATAATTATTGAAGATTTCATCTGATGCGTCCAGGAGTGTTATTGCAAAATCTGTACCTATACTTGTAGGTGCTTCCAATTAATTACTAATGCTGTACCATTTTAGACGATTCTCCTTCAGATGTTCTCGCCTATCATACTATCTTGTGCACACTTATTGACTCGAGGTACAAATGCAAAGATGGGTGTTGATTTCCGAATGCCTGGTCATGTGTGTTCAGTTTTGGACTGTTTCCTCTTGGATGCACCATCTCCATTGCAATAATTTATTTGGGGGGGGGGGGGAGGAAAAAAAATCACCGATCAGATTGGAAATATCAAACAGTGCCCTTTGCAATCTGCAAGAGTTGCAGCCCATCACCTCCCACACAGCAATGTACCGAGTCCACCAGTGTGTTGGTCAGAACGCTTTTGATCACGTTATTTTCCGTAACAACGCAGGTTGTTGCAAAGCTCTTTTTTTTATATATATATATATATATACATATATATTTCTCAGCAGTGACTTGCAACGCCTGCATTCGGAATAACAGGCAGCGAGCGCTTGTGCATTTTTAATTCCAGCCTCTGCTGGTGACACAGATACAATAGCTGTTTGTCAGACATTACAACCCGAGGATGTGCAGTTTCTCAGTGTGTTTTTACAGGGATCTGGTTTCCGTCGAGTTGGCTGGATTTCCTGAAATCTGTGCTGTCAGCCACATTTCTGCCCATTGTGTTGTGTGCTGCTCACACGCTGGACTTTCCTTCCGTTCCTGATTCCCAGCTTTCCAGCACACAGCACAGGGGACGGATATGGAGACAGATCCCAGTCCTCTCCTCTCCATTGCTGCCTCCTCTTCCCCAGCAGCGCGTTACTAACACAGAGCTTTCATCCAGATCGTCTGCGAGAGGGGGGGGAAAAAAAACACCCCCCACTGAGGATCCATTCCTGCCAGAGGATCCGAGGACGAAAGATGGTATAATGGCAATGCATCTCATATGTAAACTTTGGTTTGGAAGAAAAACAGTTGCAGCACTGGTGAGTTATCCCAACCACAGGCGTGGTGACACAGCAGGGAAAATGTAGCAATGGGTGAATTCCACCTGCCCCCTCCTGTATTTTCCTTAATCGTTGTGACTGTGCACAAGCAGGGCTGGAGGGCTGCTGAAGCTCGTTTAATTCCTGGCTCGTTCTCGCCTGAATTGCCTTTAATGCTCAGTTGCTGATGCAGACATACATGGCTGTGAGACAGACATTGGCACAGGCTTCCTTCAGGGGCTTGGCATTTGGAAAACAGATAGTTTTTACAAGATTTCACACAATGTCATTTGTGACATCTCAAACGACGACCAGTAATTTTATTGCATGGTGTGTATATTAAGACTGGGGGCTGACACGTAACCAATTTCTATTTAGGAACGTGGCGTTTTAATAATAATAATCCTTGCATTTGGTGTAGTGCCTTATCACGCCTTCGAGACGTCTCAAACGCTTCACAGAATATACTGTAAAATGAATCGACTGTATATTTTGTGGGCTGCGTTAATTCAATATCATCTGGCATAATTGTCTGATTCTGCATTAAAAGTGTGTTTACAGTTCTAGGAAGCTTGACCAAAACACTCAAACCTTTTCCTGATTTTAACCCCCTTTCTACGTGTATGAATTTAATGGGTGATACGGTATGAAGCTAAGCAGCAATCGAGGTATGTAATAATTTAGGTTTTCATTTTGATCTAATTATGCCCCTTTCATTCATGTAGGTGGGTTTCGTTGTGAAATAAACCATGAGGTCTTCATCTTCTAGGATCTCAACATTCTCTTCAAGGGATTCATTATGGAACAGGTAAACTAAGGATTAAACTTTATCTTTCAAAACAATTTGTCTTTAAGAACTTATGCACCAATATTCTGATCATGAGCAGATATCATTCCTTTAGTCTCTTGTGAGAGTTGGAAATGCCTGTCGGTGACAGATCTATGAGGGAGGGAGGGAGGCCTGGGGGTGGGGGAGGGAGTCAATCACAGAGAGAAGGGCGGGAAAGGGCAACTTACACATCTACTAAGAAATTCTCTTGTCATAGTGAAAGTTGACAGAAGGTTGGCTGAGAGGAGTGGGGGGGGAAGCTGATCGAATAGGTAGGGAGGCGCTAGGGCATGCCTCCGTCCGTACCTCACAACCAACGCAGCTGAAACTTTCGTCCACGCTTTCGTCACTTCCCATCTGGACTATTCCAATGCACTGCTCGCTAATCTCCCCAGCTCCACCGTACACAAAATTAAATTAATCCAAAAGTCCGCCGCCCGAATACTCACCCGCCCAAAACTCCATACCCCCATCACACCAGCCATTGCAAGGCCCCACTGGCTCCCAATTACCGAATGGATTGATTTCAAGATCCTCTCACTCATTTTCAAATCGCTTCATGCCCTCATACCTCCCTACCTATCTGATCTGCTCACCCGACACTCCACCACCTGCTGCCTCCGCTTGGCTGGCTCCGACCTCCTGTTTGTTCCTCGTCCCCTCTGCTCTACTGTCGGTAGTCTTCAGCCACTATGCCCAGAAACTCTGGAACTCTCTCCCTCAATCCCTCTGCCTTGCCCCCTCCCTTCCCACTTTCAAATACCGCTTAAAGACCTTCCTTTTTGATTGTGCTTACGGTCAACTCCCTCTCGTGCTGGGTGTCATATTCCGCCATTGTCAAGCGTTCTGGGTCCCTACCCCGTGTGAAGGACGCTATATAAATGCAAGTTGTTGTTGTTGAGAGAGTTTTCATTGTTTATGCAAATAGGTTAGTTTGGCTGAAAGATAGTAAAACTCATAAAAAAAACTTTAATGTCAGTTTCCAGTAAAAACAACAGGAAATATGTAAGTGGCATTTTTATCACTGTTTGCTTACCAGGACTTTTATATCAGTGATAAATATAACCAGAACCTTAGTATTTACTCTTTAGAAACGTGACCAAATGGATTCTCAGTTCCTCCACCATTTGCGTTCCTCTCCAGTGTAATTGTTCTTGCAGTGAGCTGTAGGAGGGGAGCACAGTCTTAGTTTTAGAATAAGAAGCTATGGTGACGTTTTATCTGGGAGTGGGTGGATGATACATCGGAAAACTTAAATGGACACACGAGGGAATGAAATATTTATGTTGAAAAGTGGCTCTGACTCAGCACATAAACATGTGATTTCCTTGGTCAGCAAATTCAGCCGTCCATCTGAAGTTTGTTTGACCAGTGCGAGGACACGATCTGCTGAGCAGAGATTAGCATTTGCCTGCATTTTTTCTCTCCATATAAAAAGGCTTATGCTTTTAATTTACGGGTAATGTCTTACTGCAATTTTTCCAGGATCTGTTTCATTTTTAATAAACAGTTCTTAAGTCCAAAATATGTTAACGTGAGACGAAGCAGCTTTAATTTACGTCTTCTTGCGATCCAAAATGCATGTGCACGAATACTGAACTGCGCTGCTGCTTAAGTATTCTGCCACAAATTATATTCCCGGGAGAGTTCCTCTCTGAACCAAAATGATGATGTGGCACTGAAAATATATATTCACTATTGGATTGTGCACAGTCTCATGATGTGTATTCTTTTACTTTCCTGATTATTACCTGTAGGTGGCGTAACAGCTCCAGTCAAATGGACAAATAAGTAATTGCATGGATGAGAAAGAGCACAAATAGGTGCAGAATTAGGAGGTGGAAGAGACTTGTTTCTGTTACAGTGATTATCATTCCAACCCCAATAATACAATCTATTTGACGGGAATAATGTGTTCTATTTATATAAAATAAGTATGAAAATTTTAGCCACAAAATTCCATTAACTTTTTATATTAAACCTTTAGGGGATCTAAATTTTTCTTTATCGGTAAAATGAATGTGCACAATCTAAAGCAAGAATATACTGTACAAAACAGCAAAGATATACAATATTTTAAAAGATAAACTCACCCATATACAATTTTACTGAAGGTAAACTGAATAATGCATTGGTTATGCTGAACAAATTTTAGAATGGAAAACTGTAAGATTATTAAATGCTAAATAACTGTAACATATTTTAAATGCTTAATTACAACTATAAACAGTTACAGTTAAAATGATTAAATAATTTCAGTAACTTGTCCTGGAAGCAGAAAAGCAGACAAACGTGCTACACAATTTCAAATTGAAACAACTTATGTGAGTGAATGTGGAAAATGCTTGCTGTACTACTGTAAATCTGAACTGGTATTTTTAGTACCTTACAAGGCTGGGAAAATTCTATACTAATGAAGAAAATCATAATCATAATCGGTAATATCCATGTTACAATGTCAGTCTTTCCAAATATGTAGTGTCATCCTGTACTCATTTATGTATTCAGTAGCGATTTTCTTCGTCCTCAGGGGATTTCTCTAGTGACGTCTGTATGAATTTCCAACAACTATAAAATAACAAGACAAAACAAAATAGTTGTAAAATGTATAAATATATATTTTTGTACAGTCAATTCACTTTACAGTATAATTTGTGAAGCACTTTGAGACGTCTCAACGAGTGATTAGGCACTATATCACATGCAAAGATTATTATTATTTTATTGTAATTATACAAAGCTTAAGGCTTTGAATACCACTGAGTTTTTTTTAATTAACTGGACCAGTTCCAATTAAGCACACTTGCAACAGATCCTTTAATATTACTACCTATTAGCTATCTAACTTTGTAAAACTTTTTAGAAATATCTTAACAGCTAATTATCTGAAACTTAATTTTCCAAAGTGTACAAATTAAAAAAAAATTAATATCAGTTTCACCAAAAATGTGCGAGGCATAAACAACAAGTTATGTCTCGCTGAAAACACAGGACATAGAGACCCGCCACAGCAAGTATCCTGCCTCACAAACTCTTACAGGTCAAATGCACTGAATAATTTCAGTTGTGAGTCCCTTTACTCTCTCTGAATGTGTGCTCCTTCCTCTTTCAGAAACATCTGGCTGCTGATTTGAAATTGTTCTTGATTAATATTCAAGTCCTTCATGTCTACATGAATATCTAATGTGAACAATGGATGCTTATTAATATGTCTTATTATTATTGAAATTACATAAATGCAATCTGACATCTAATAACATGCTTCATTGCACCAGAGCCTTTTGTTGTAAGTAACTGGAATCTCTCTCGGTAAAACAATCCTCGAACACCCATCCCTAAACATACAAAGGAGTAGTGCAGCAAACAGTGTCCTCCTGTAAATGTTACTAAAGAAATCCCCTGAGGACAAAGAAAATCGTTACTGAATACATAAATGAGTACAGGATGATACTATGTATTTGGAAAGACTGACATTGTAATACGGGTTTATTGATTATGATTAAGATTTTCTTCATTGGTGTAGAAATCCCCCAGAACCAGTTACAGTATTTGTGATTTCAATCGTTCTTCTTTATATTCTTCATAAAACTTGTTGCTCGTGATGACTTTATTTTTCCGTGAGCACGTACAGTATGTTTTTGGTGTTTCAGCCCAATCATATAACAATGAAAAGGCACAGAGAGCTCATGGAAATCCTCAACCAAGTGGAAATTTGGTTCCCAGAATCAAACCTAGGTCTTTCTTGTTATTTTTATGTATTTCCTGATCCTTTATGCCACATCTATTTGAGGAATTTATGTAAAGTGGATAAAGAAATGGCAAGCAAATGGTGAAAAGAAAATGTTAGATGGAGAGAGAAAAAGATGAAAAAAAAAGGAAAAAGATAACAGTTGGTGGAGGGTAGAGTAGGGAAGTCGGGTCAGCAGAGAGTTGGCATAGTTCATTTTCACTGCCATCCTTCCCCTAGTTGGCATCTTTCCTCCTCATATTCTTCCTCCTGTTTCTCCTCTATGGGAACGATGGTGGTGAAATCCTACTCAATATGCCACTCAAGCTTGAGGTGGTCACTTAGGCTAGATTGGAGGAAAACTGGAGGGGCTGGTGAGGACAGGACAAGGGAAGGGTGGATGGATGGTGGAGGGGATGCTGGAAGAAGCAAATGAGAAGCACATATGCAAGGCTGATTAGCAGAGCATGCTTTCCTTATTAAAATGCATTACGCAAACAAAGAACAGTTACCATTTCCCGTTGAAATCAACGTGGTTATAAACAGCAGACCTGGCCAGCATGTTTTCTTGTTAATCAGATCTGAGAGATTCAATAGGAACACAGATTTTGATATGCTACAGTGCTGCCGCTGGCTTTGAAACCTTCCCAAGATAAACTCATAAACTGTAATTTTCCTGTGTTAATGTTTTGGTACTAAAAATAAATTGCGCCACCCACTGTCCAGACCGCTTTCCGGCAGCAATGAATGTACAACAGAATTTCGACCCCATAGAGTAAAGTCAGGAAAGATATTGTAGAGAAAAAAATATTTTTGGCTTCTTGAATTTTGTTGTGACAACTATTCAGTGAATTGACGCTCAGAAAAAAGGACAGTTTCGGTGGCACTTTTTTGCTATATTTTTATGAGCAGTTGTCCTAACCTTTGAACTGCTATTCCTATTTCACTTGATATTTTAAATCTGCATTTACACCGAAGGCATTCATGATAAATTATATAATTATTACTACATTCAAGACACGGTTGAGAATATTTGAATTTAATTTGGATAATAATTTTATTTTATTTATAAATTTCCAATCCTCTCATCATTTTTCTTTGCTAGTTCTTTCACACCGTAGTCTGAAAAGGATGGGTAGTTGCATGTTGTGGATGCTGTCAGTGCCACACAACAGTCAGCAATGACGTACACTTGCAGCAGGAGACAGAACGAGTTAATTCTGTTCAAACATGAGCCGTTATACTTAGCACT